GCTAAAGATAGTTACATATTCAATCAACAAATTAATACTCAGTTATTACTCTGCTAATTGGAGTAAATTGACCTCATTGGGTGGCCTGGGTAAAACTGGGAGATAACCTCTATCTTAAGTTTGTGATAACTAAATATCTGTGGAAATATCTCCCTAGCACTAAGCCCAACACAGAGTAGGTGTGTTCTAGACGGGCTCTTTTCACCTCCCCTTTCTAATTATGTTGCATGTTATTACACATATGATGAGAATCAATATAGTTTTACTGTTTGTTTTGTTGTCATTTTTTTTTTTTCTTTGAGATGGAATCTCGCTCTATCACCGAGGCTGGAGTGCTGTGGTGCCATCTTGGTTTACTGCAACCTCTGGCTCCCAGGTTCAAATGATTCTCCTGCCTCAGCCTCCCAAGTAGCTGGGATAACAGGGGTGTACCACCACACGCAGCTAATTTTTGTATTTTTAGTAGAGACAGGGTTTCACCATGTTGGCCGGACTGGTCTCGAACTCCTGACCTCAAGTGATCTGCCCACCTCGGCCTCCCAAATTGCTTGAATTATAGGTGTGAGCCACCATGCCCAGTTTCATAGTTACGTTTTTTGAGACAGAGTTTCACTCCCATCACCCAGGCTGGAGTGCAGTGGTATGATCTCGGATCCCTGCAACCTCTCCCTCCCAAATTCAAGCAATTTTCCTGCCTCGGCCTCCTGAGTAGGTGAGGCTACAGATGCATACCACCATGGCTGGCTAATTTTTGTGTTTTTAGTAGAGACAGGGGTTTGCCATGTTGACCAGGCTGGTCTCGAACTTCTGAGTTCAAGAAATCTACCTGTATCAGTCTCCCAAAGTGCTGGAATTACAGGTGTGAGGCATTGCGCACGATGGAGAATCTATATAGTTTTATGTCACCACCACTCCCCTCACAATGGGCTGAATTTGGTCAAATACCATTACTTCTTCCCTTCCCCTGGATTCTGAATGGTAGCCTGCTGAGTGGTGGGAATGTCCTAACTTTGACCACCATCGAGTGCTGTCCTTTCCTTAGGTGCTAACCCATTGCCACTCCTGTTCCCAGGCATCCCAGCCTGAGGTCCATGTGCGAGCCAGTAACCCCTGACGGCCTCCATGCTGACAAGAACACTTTCCCAAGAACAGAAACAGGTGCTGAGTGACCCACACACCTGTAAAGGAAAAGAGGGCCAGAAGCTGGTGCTGACCCAGACACCAGGGTTACTGAGATTCCATTTGTTTTTTTTTTTTTTTTATGAACTATCCTCCCTGTAAGGCCGGTTGCCTCGCCGGGAGGCCGGACACACCCACCTCTGCACTCAGCACCTGACTCTGCACCCAGCACCAGGCTCTGCACTCGGCACCTAGCTCTGCCACATGGCTCCCTTGGAAGGCTCCGGCTAATGCAACCCTGGCTGGCTCTCGCACCGGAAAACCTGCCCAACAACCCGCCAACCAATAGCGTCCCACCCCATCTCAATCCCGCTCCCCTGGACCCAATCAGAGCACCCAGCTGTTGCTTCTTCCTCGGAGCCATAAAACCCCCCTGCCCCAGGAAGTCAGCATGACTTCTCTGGCCCCCTTTCCCTGGACCAGAGAACTTCACCCAGGAGCTGAATAAATTGGCATTTAATTTTCTTATACTGGCCTCAGTTTCCTCATTTTAAACTCAGCAATAACCCTTACACTCCCCACAGGGGAAGTGTGTTGCTGCTCATCCAAACAATGGATTCAAACCTGGCTGTAAAGATTACAGGAAGAGATGCACAGGGCAAGGTGGGAATGAAGTGTGGCTGGAAAGCTTCCATGCCCTCTCCAGGCATGCTGTGTTCCAAGCACATCAATGTGTTCACCAACCTGAAAATTCCCCAAACTGCATTGAGAGAGTATATGAGGTGTATATGAGAGTGTATATGAGAGTGTATATAACTTAGGCATGGCTGATTGAACCCAATTTCCAAGCCCCTCCTCTCCTCAGAGGTTGGAGGTGGGAGCTGAAGTCCCAACCCTCTAATCACATGGTTGGTTTCTCTGGTGACCAACCCCCATTCTGAAGTGAGCTAGGGGATCTACCCACTCAAGGTAGAAGGAACAAACTTCACCTGCTTCACCTGCTTCACATAAACTTACATATGGTCAACATGGGCTCATTATGTATAACAAAAGACACAGCACTCAGGATATTCCAAGGGGTTTAGAAACTCTGTACTAGGAACTAGGACAAAGACCAAATATCTATTTTTTATTATACTACACCACATAAAGGACACCTGGTCAGATCTTCTTGAGAGTGACCTTTCGGTTTGGAATAGTGATGGGTACACAAAGAGCTCTCCTAATCAGATCTCATAGCCTCATTCCTATAAGCATCGACTCCTTGGTTTGGCATGAGGTTGGTAAGATCACCTGTGTGTGCAGCCACTGCTTAGCTCTGGGAATACAGTGGGTATAGGCCATGGTATCAAATATCTTGATCTACTGGGAGAGAGAGATGTACCTGACTATAGTTGCAGGGTGTGTTCTAAATGTCTTCTGAACTTGGGGACTATGGACTCTGTCTGTCAGGGATTTGGGTGAGTGAAGCTTAACTGGAACCTCCGCAAGGACTGGTGGGTGCCTCCAGATGGAGAAAAGGGAGAATTCAATGAGCAAAAGCAGAAGTAAGGGAAAAGCACCTGTGCTAAGTAGGTGAGGAGCTGATGTGGAAGCAGGGTTGACTTGAGGTAGGCAGGGACCCCTTGTCAAGGACCTTGTTAGCAGCAACAGTGATTTAAGTAGGGAGTTCTAGAGAATTTAGGTTTATTTTGAAGGAAGATCACCCTAGGCCAGGTGTAGTGGCTCACACCTGTAATCCCAGATCTTTGGGAGGCTAAGTGGGAGGATCGCTTGAGTCAGGAGTTTGAGACCAGCCTGGGCAACACAGCAAGGCCCCATCTTTAAAAAAAAAATTAGCCCCGCATGGTGATGTGCACCCTTGCTCCCAGTAATCCCAGCTGCTACTTGGGATGCTGAGGTGGGAGGATCACTTGAGGCTGGGAGATTGAGGCTGCAGTGAGCCATGATCATGTCACTGCATTCCAGACTGGGTGAGAGGACCCAGGCTGGAATGCAGTGACAGCTCCTGTCAAAAAAAAAAAAATCACCTGGACAAGTGGATTGGAGGAACAGAGCCAATATCAACTCTTCCCCAGTTTGTGCCATTAACTCCTGGTCTCCAGGGTTCCAAGCAATTCATTCTGGGCCTAGTGGTCAGAGTACTATTTAAAAGAACGTGATCATGTAACTCTCCTGTTGTAACTCAGCAGCTTCTCAAAGCCCCCAAATCTTCCAGGCGGCTTACTGCATCCTCATGATGTGGCCCTCTGCCCACCTTTCCCATCTGATTATCATGCCCTCCACTCCACCACCCCAGACTCTGATCTCTTAGTTCCTTGAGTGTGCAGAAGCTGTCTCCTCTTTCTGGTTCCTTATCCTTCTGAATTCAGCTTAAGTGTCACCTCAGGAAGGTCTTAACCCCCTGCTCTATCTAAAATAGATGGTCCCATTATTTCCTAGCATTATGTCCACCTGTAATTTATTTATACCTGGGTTTAGTCCAAGATATTAGTCCAAACTGCACCATTTTGTAAACTCCCTGCTATTTTGCAGACCGTGGTCAAAGTGAAACATTTCACAGGGGTCTGGGCTGTGAGAAACCTCCTGCCTAACCACCTGACCACAAGACGGACAAAGGCCCAACTAAAGAAACATCCTGGTCATATCTTGCTGGGCAAAGGTCCAAGGGACACCGCGATGACATCCAACTGGAACAAGGGCCAAACCACATCTTCATGAGAACATCTTATCAATACCTTGCTGGGCAGCAAGCCATACTGCCCAGACCCCTCCCGCCCATACCTATAAGTTGTTCCAGCCTGTAAGCAGCGGTGGGCACTGGCATTAGGCTGGTTCCCCACTCCTGTAGGTTTTATGCTAGACATAAAGCCTGTGTTTGGTGTCGAGCCTCCCTCTGTGTGTGTGTGTATGCGTGTGTGTGTGTGTGTGTGTGTGTATTGTATGTGTGCTTCTTTAACCCTTGCCTTCCCTTCAAAACCTAACACGAGCGTTGGCAAACGTTCTTCCTGAAGAGCCAGATGGTAAATATCACTGTAGGCTTTGCAGGCCATGGCTCTTCTGCCCTTGTAGCAGGAAAGCAGCCACAGTCATACTTACGGAAATGAGCCTGGCTGTGTCCCCATAAAGCTTTCTTTATGGACAGTGAAATTTTAATTTCACATTAATTTTCATGTGCTAAGAAAAAATACGTATTTTTTTCCTAGACACGGTGTTGCGCTCTTGTCGCCGGGGCTGGAGTGCAATGGCGTGATCTCCACTCACTGCAACCTTCGCCTCCTGAGTTCAAGCGATTCTCCAGCCTCAGCCTCCTGAGCAGCGGGGATTACAGGGGCCCGCCACCACTCTAATTTTTATATTTTCAGTAGAGACGGGGTTTCACCATGTTGGCCAGGCTGTTCTCGAATTCCTGACCTCAAGTGATCTGCCCTCCTCAGCCTCCCAAAGTGCTGGGATTACAGGAGTGAGCCACCATGCCTGGGCAAGAAAATATTCTTAATTTTTTTCCCGACTATTTCAAAGGTAAAAATCATGCTTAGCTTCTGGGTTGTCAAAAAAAAAGACGCGCAGGATGACCACGCACCATAGTTTATCGTTTGCCCAAAACAGTCGGGTTGATTTGGCCAAGGCTTGCCTGCCCCAACACCGTCAACACTGGGAAGCGCCAGGACCACTTTGTTCACCGTGGCGTACCGCACACTGCGCCCCGATGCTTCCGGGTAGCGTGTTGCAGGTTGGACCAACGCCAGGGTGGGCGGAGTCTGAGAGGTAAGGGCTGCGGGGGGATGGGGCGGGGCCAGAGAGGGGGCGGAACAGTGGGGACGGGGGCGGAACAGTGGGGACGGGGGCGGGGCAGTGAGGAAGTGGGCGGGCCGAGTGCTGGCTTCCGGCGGAAAAGCGCGCGAGCAAGATGGCTACTACCAAGCGCGTTTTGTACGTGGGTGAGCAGGCAGTGGCGTTAGGCGGCATCTGGACGAACGCGACCCCCAGGGGGTCGCGGCGTGGGGTGGGACACGTCTCTGAACCAGGAGGACGGCGAGCAGCTGTCAAGGCTCGGTCTCTGGCGTTGGTCCCGGCGGTATAGCTCTGGCTCTAGTAGATGGTAGCAAACTAGAATGATCTTGGGGAAATGTAGATTTGAAACGGTAACTTCTCTGCTTAAACTCCTTCAAAGGCTTCCCACTGTCCTCAGGAAAAAGTGCAAACTCCTTAGCAGTAGCCACTTCTCCAGCTTCTTTGCTTTGCTTGACCCATTTGCTCCTAAGTGTCAGGCTATTTCACACCTTTGGACCTCTGCCTTTGCGAACTCCCTTGCAGTGAACAGCCTTGCCGCACACCTCAGGTGTGTGAACCCGAGACGGAATTCTGACTTCCTAGCCCGCTGAGCTCCAACGGGCCCCGAGGAGCGGTAGAGGAATATTATGGTCCTCCAGATCCTCTTGTTAATTTGTTTTACAAACATCCAGTGCAGTGACGGCTCAGCTCCAGCCGCAGCCATAAGGGAAGGAGTTCCCAGACTAGCCAGAAAAGAAGTGGAATTACCTCAGTAGCACACTTTCGATAAGCGCTGTAGTGGGGATGAACCATGACGATAGGGGCTTGGCTGCGAGACAAATGACCCATTCATCTGGAGAAGTGAGGGCAAACTCTGGATGAGGTGATGCCAGAACTGATGAGCAGAAGTTAGCTACGTTACCAAAGCAGAAGCAAGGCTGTTCACTGCAAGGGAGTCGAAAAAGCAGAGGTCCAAAGGTGTGAAATAGCCTGACACTTGGGGGCAAGTGGGTTATTTTTCAGGAGACCCAAGGAATTGGGAAGCAAAGCAAAGAAGCTGGAGAGGTGGCTACCACTAAGGAGTTTGCACTTTATCCTGAGGACAGTGGGAAGTGTTTGAGGGAGTTTAAGCAGAGAAGTTACGGGTTCAAATCTGCATTTTCCTAAGATCATTCTAGTAGGCTTTGTGGAATTGGTAGAGGGAATGGAGGCAGGGAGGTCAGTTGTGAAGCTATTGCAGTAAACCCAGGACTAGATGAGAATCTGAAAGCAGGGTGAAGAGAGGAATGTTTTCATAAGTATGGATGGGCAGAGATGAGAGGGGTATGTGTGTGTGTGTGTGTGTGTGTGTACCCAAAGAACTGAATGGAAGGACCCTGTCCCCTGGCTAGCATGCTAACTGGGCTGCCAAGGACTTCTGCAAGAGCATGGAGATCAGTGGCTCAGAAAGCCCTTGGCTTATTTGCAGGTGGACTGGCAGAGGAGGTGGATGACAAAGTTCTTCATGCTGCATTCATTCCTTTTGGAGACATCACAGATATTCAGATTCCTCTGGATTATGAAACAGGTGAGTTATTTTAGTGTCTCTCACGTTCAGAATCCTCCTATTAGGAAAAGGCCTTAAAAAAAATTTAAAGTCACATCACAATTCTAAATATGTATTCTAAATATGGTTAGTATACACTACAGTTAAGTTCATGAAGGTGCCTGGTGACAGTGATCTTGATGGAGAAGGAATGTTCTGAGGCCACGTGGTTGTGAACTTTAAATACTTTTCAGAGTCTTCAGCTGTTGGGTTGAGAAAAGACAGGTTTTTCAGTAGACCAGTAGGGAGATAGGTTTGAACTACATTGAGATTTCAATGTTGTTTTAATCTACCTGGATGTTTGGTTCAATTCATTCACTTCAGAGGACAGTAAAGAAAAAAACATGAAAAAAAGAAAAAAAATTAATCTATCTGGATGCATACCCTATCCCACCTGCTCCTTCTTGGCAGCTGTGCTATTAAATGAGGCAGCAGGAAAGCCTAGCCCCATAATGGCAGGTGGGGGTGGGGTTCTTGGCCTCTGAACACCTGAGTGGGTTTCCCTTCAGTTGGTATCACAATTACAGTTCAGTTTTCTATTTTACCTTTGTTGTCATTTGTAGGATTGTAGTTTTAGGCCCAGTTTTATCATCAAACTTGCATATGATTGTTAGCAAGGTCTTTAAACTCTCTGGGCCTGAGGAATCTTTAATTGTAAAATGGGAAGGTTATATTGTCTTTCTAAAGGCTGGAGTGCAGTGGCATGATGTCAGCTCACTGCAGTCTCCGTCTCCTAAGTTTCAAGCGATTTCCCGTCCTCAGCCTCCCGAGTAGCTGGGACTACAAGTATGCACCACCATGCCTGGCTAATCTTTTTTTTGTGTGTATTTTAGTAGAGATGGGGTTTCACCGTGTTGGCCAGGATGGTCTCGATCTTCTGACCTCGCGATCCACCCATCTCAGCCTTCCAAAGTGGTGGGATTACAGGCGTGAGCCACTGCACCTGACTATCTTTATTTTTCTAGTTGTCTTGCATGTAATATTAATGTTTTAAGTTTGGCTTTGGTAGAATAATACTTATTTTAAAGATTAAAAATACAGTTTGTTATTCAGCTATGTCCATTACAAAAACAAAATTTATTATTTCTTAAAGTATTGTTTAAGAAGAATCAAAGAATGAGATTCCTTCTTCTTAAATAGCTATTGGATAGAATTACAGGTGTTTAGATATGGCATGTATCTAACTGACTGCACTTTGTGACCATCCTGTTTCTTCCCATTACCCCACATAGTAATTACTTGTTTTTGTTTCTCCATTTTGCAGAAAAGCACCGAGGATTTGCTTTTGTTGAATTCGAGTTGGCAGAGGTGAGAGTCTGTGTTACTAGTGTTTAGTCCTTGGTTTGTGGTGGTGTTACTGATTACAAAGGAAGCTTTTCACCGTTTGATTAGGTTGTTGGGCCTTAAGCTGATACTGCCAGAGAGATCAGAAGTGTTGTTCTAAGAAAAGCTTCCCTCACATAATCAGACTGGACTGTGAATAACATGTCAGACCTTCTTCCAGGTCCTTCCCTTCTTGCCCTGCAGTGGAGCTCCTACACCCCTGTTCATTGAGCATTCTTGCTTGGCAGCAGTGGTGATTATTTCTTGTGCCTTCAACCAGCTGGCAGATTGTTGCACCACCAGCTCTAAAATCAGCCAGGAAGTGCTCTTTGTTAGAAACACACACAACCTAGGCAAGAAATGTAGAGGTGGCATTTTCCTAGATTTTTGCTTCTGAGTATGTGTTTAGACACCATAAGAAGTGTTTGGCTGCAAGCCTAAACTTGTACCTTTGTTTTTCCTTGGCAGGATGCTGCAGCAGCTATCGACAACATGGTATGGCTGGGAATCTTCGTTATAGCTGAAATTGCTTTTTGTTGGTACAGAGGGTCCTTAGTCATATATCAGTTTTCTGGACTTCCAAAGTTACAAGGTTGCAAGGGGAAGGTAAAAATTCTCATGTGAAAATATTCACTGTGAATTGATCACTTATAAAACCAGTCCTTAGACTCCTTTCCCATTTAACAATAATGTAAGTTCTCATCTTCCTTGTTGATCAGTCTCTCACTGGCTGTCCCATGTGTACGATAGTAAATTGCAAACAACACAGATTCATTGCACAGTGTAACTGCATATTTTGCAAAATAGCAAGATTTCATGAACTATTAGACCAATTTACAATTGAGAAGAGAAATTTAATTATGGCAGCTGCAGATCACTGATACAAATGATTTGGATATTTTGGAAAGGTCCTTGGGGAAAATGATAACGCTCTTTAGTGTTTGTGCCCTCCTTGAGATCCTTTTAATTTTCATGTCTGCTATGAAGTGCAAAGATACCATACTGTTGACAGAATTTTGTTGGAAAAAATACTTCAGTGCCTGTTACTTTTTTTTTTTTTTTAAAGCAGTCTTGAACTCCTAGGTGCAAGCAGTCCTGCCTTCTCAGCCTCCCAAGTAGCTTGAATTACAGGCTCAAGCCAACAGGGCTACTTAAGACATTTCTTTTTCTTTTTTTTTGAGATGGAATCTCACTGTGAAGCCCAGGCTGGAGTCTAATGATGTACAAGTCTTTGCTCACCACAACCTCTGCCTCCTGGATTCAAGTGATTCTCTTGCCTCAGCCTCCCGAATAGCTGGGATCACAGGCATGTGCCACCACACCTGGCTAAGTTTTATATTTTTGGTAGAGATGGGGTTTCACCATGTTGGCCAGGCTGGTCTTGAACTCCTGACCTTAAGTGATCCACCTGTCTCAGCCTCCCAAAGTGCTAGAATTAAAGGCATGAGCCACTGTGCCCAGTCTATTACATTTCTTTCTACCAGTTAATGCATAGTTAATCCTGAATATTAATTGTAAGAAACTTATTTTTAGTTTCATTACAGTAGTTTCCCAGTCAAACCTTTTATAATTTTCACTTTTACCGTGAAATCTTCATCACTGCTTTAAGTGGATTCACGTTAAGTGACCTTTCCTGATACTGATATTATCTTTAGATAATGAAATGTTCTTCTATTCCTTGTTCTGTTATCCATTCACCAAACGTATTCCTCAGCTGTCAGAGATCATTTTTCTTTCACTTCAAAGCTTATCTTTGCTGGGTGTGGTGGCTCATGCCTGTAGTCCCAGCACTTTGGGAGGCTGAGGTGGGTGGATTACCTGAGGTCAGGAGTTCGAGACAAGCCTGACCAACATGGAGAAACCCCATCTCTACTAAAAATACAAAAAAATTAGCTGGGTGTGGCAGCACATGCCTGTAATCCCAGCTACTTGGGAGGCTGAGGCAGGAGAATCGCTTGAACCTGGGAGGTGGAGGTTACAAGTTCGAGCCGTTGTACTCCAGCCTGGATAACAAGAGCAAAACTCCATCTCAAACCTCCCCCCTACCCAAAAAAAAAAAAAAACAAAATGAAAACAAAGCTTATCTTGACTTTTGAAGGTGAACTCAGATGCTGGGAAACTGCATTTATTCTTGTAATTTTGGAGTGTTCTGAACCCAGAGTTACTTTTGGTAATAGAAGTCTTTGTGTGCTGGTATGAAAGAAAGGGGTGTGTGTGATGGTTCTAAGTTCCCTGCAAGTCACAGGTGGCTTTGCAGTGGGTGCATAGCTTACTGGTAGGGGCTCAGGGATTAATGGAGGACAAATGATGAGTGTGTCTCAGAAGTAAATGGAAAGCTGGCTGGCTCTCTGTTAACCTAAGAGAGTTTAAGCAGCTGGATTTTCAATCTTTACAGAATGAATCTGAGCTTTTTGGACGTACAATACGTGTCAATTTGGCCAAACCAATGAGAATTAAGGAAGGCTCTTCCAGGCCAGGTGAGTAAGAGCAACTTCTAGATTCCCTGTGATGTTCAGCAATTTGGCCTTAGTTGCATTTTTTGTCTCTATTTACTTGGAAGTAGGTGCTCTAAATGCTGCTTCCTGGTAGATAGGAGTAGGTGATGGTTCACATCGGGAGGGGCATGCACCACCCTTGTAGAGAAACAAAAAGTGAGTGTGAGCTTCTCAGCAAAGCCAGAGGAATTGTTTTTGTTATGAGAGAAATTCCTGCTTGATCTCATGCTTCCCAGTTTTCTTGATATTCCATTCTTAGGGTACTCCATCAAGGGCTGAAACCAGCGAAGGCTATACCTTTGCTTTCAGCGTACTGACTTTCCTTAGCCCTACTGAGAGCTGGACTTAAGGGCCGACATTCTGGGTGGGAACTTTCCTTACCCCTGGGAGTTCTCAGTGGGGAATTGTTTGGCATAGAGGCCACATAGCATCTTCCACTTCGCTGACCAAAGCAGATACCTTTCAATTCAAGCTGATGGCTTGAATTAACGTTTGTTTTACTCTTTCCTCTCAGTTTGGTCAGATGATGACTGGTTGAAGAAGTTTTCTGGGAAGACACTTGAAGAGAATAAAGAGGAAGAAGGGTCAGAGCCTCCCAAAGCAGAGACCCAGGAGGTGAGAATGAAGTCTCCTGTTTTTAGAGGACAGGCTGGCACTGTCTGCAGGAGACTTTTTTTTTTTTTTTAAGTTTTAATGGAAATTTGCAAATGCCTATACCAAAGTGGAGGGAATGAATAATGAATTCTTAGTACTTTGGTAAAGTCAGTATTGAGTGAATTCAAGGGCAAAGCTTTGGGTCTCTTGTCCACGTTTTGTTCTATGTGATGAGCGTCTCAGCTCTGCTCAGGTACGGATTTGTGATTGTCAGCTGACAGGGAAGAAGCTGAGGTGCCCCTCTTCATCCCTCCTGATCAGTCCCTCTCCTTCACTGAGGAGTTTGGCATGAGGCTCATGGTCTTCCTATTCCTGTGCTAATGCAGAGGTGACAGAATAGGGTAGTGCTACCTTCCTTCACCCTGTACATGGGTTCACGGTTGACCAGTCCTAAGAGAACCTGCCGGGGCATTTCCCCCTGATTCTCAGCATAGGTCTCTGACAGTTGCTTCTTAGACTTCCCCTCCTCCGGGTATCTTGTGAATGTTGTCATTCTTCTGTATTTCTTTGTTGGCTCATGGTTTCTCTCTTTTCTCTCAGCTGAAACAGTAGCAGTCAGTCTAATTTTATGCAACCTCTCTTATGCTGTTGACCTTCATGGTCTGTTTCTAGTCCTGAGCTTCAGATATTTCTGCCTGCAAGTCTCATAGGCAGCCTAAGTTTGCCTAAAATGGATCCCCTGCTTCTCTAATCCTGTCTTCTGTGATCTCAGTCTTGGCTAATTTGCTACCATTCATCCACACATTGGCCCAAGCCAAAAATTTGGATGGAAAACAAAACTCAAAGTGGCCATCACACTCAGTGGAGTCCCCCTGGATCACCCTGTATTCTCTGCTTAGTCTCATCTACTTGGAGCACAAAGCAAGGCCCAGCATCCTCCACTGTGTTCTGAGCACTTAGATCTGAGCATGAGGGCTGCGCCCTTGCTTTCATGTAGGCAGCCAGCGTTATGTGCAGGGCCAAGCATAGAGGGAGGAGGTGGTGGGACATGGTCTGCCTAACTAGAGAACAGTGTGTGGGCTGGAACTGGCATTTGAAGATGTTGAGAGTTGTGGATCATAGGCCAGAAAAGCGCTGTTCTGTGACTGTAAAGCAAGAGGAGGAAGCCGATGCGTCTGAGGGCAAGCCTGATGAGATAACATGCCTGTGTGTGGGGCTCAGGTAAGCCAGTACTGAGGTCTCCTGTTGCTGGGCATCCAGCTGGGTACTACGGCTGTGGCTCCTGCCTCCTGCAGCCCTGTCAAGGCCAAGGCCTTCCCCGTCAGCACTTGCTCCAGCCTGCTCATTGGAGCTGTGTTCTGGATGGTTGTCTAGAATACTCAGCTCCTACTTGGGGCATCAGGGAGCTCTCTCTAACTAGCGATTTCTTCTGCACCTAGGGAGAGCCTGCTGCTAAAAAGGCTCGGTCAAATCCTCAGGTGTACATGGACATCAAGATTGGGAACAAGCCGGCCGGCCGAATCCAGATGCTCCTGCGTTCCGACGTTGTGCCTATGACTGCAGGTGAGCAGGACGCCGGGGTCAGGAAGGCGGGATGCTGGTGGCTGAGCAGTGAGCCTTTCCCAGGTTCTTGCCGCTTTACTTCTTGTGCCCTTGATATTGCTTCTGACCTAAGTTGATTTGAGGCATCTCAGATCCTGAGATCTAGTAACAGATAAGTCAGAGCAGGTGTTTTTGAAGCTTTATAAGTGCTGGCTTACTACTTTTTAATAATCATTTTTAAAAAATACAAATAAATAATGTATTCTTTTTTTAAAAAAAGAATACCATACATATATATTCCAATAATAATTAAGACAATAAATGGAAAACTTAAGTTGTTTTCCCCCCTCTATATCGAGTCCTGAATTCTAGAAGTAACTAGTGCTATTGAGTATTCTTTGTAACTTATTATTGACTCTATTTATTCTCTTTTTAATCTAAATTTTATTATTATCTAGACATATAAAGAGTCAATTCAACTTCACAAACCTTCTTTTGGAAAAACAGTCATCCCCTGGTGCTGTCCCTATGCCCTGCTGCCAACACCATTTACTGTTCCTCAGAGGAGCCGATTTCAACTCTTAGGTCTTTTGGTTTTTATTTCCATGTTGATAGAAAATGGGTTTATATTTCTACTTCCTGTGTTCCATTTTAAGCATTATCTTCTGATTTTCTACTTCAGAAGACGAGGAATTAGTTTTTAAAAATCCCCTTCTCTGCCCCCTCACCTTCCCTGTATAGGTACCATAATTTTGGTTAGGTCCTAAATTATTTTAACAATGTAGGCACCATGTGATAACTTCCTTTCATGCACAGCATTTTGTTTTGCATGGAATTGATAATTGCCTTGTTTGTGCAGTTTTCGATGTAATCATTCCTGATTTTCTCCCAGATTATCCTGACGGGGGTTTGCGTCCAGGTGTCTGCATTTTGTTAAGCAGAGATGAGGGCAGGGCTGAATGCCTCAACATTCAGTATATAAACTTTCATGTAATCTCCATTTGTCGTAACGTACCTCAGCCATCACTACGTGTAGGATATACTAGTCCAGAGACCCCCTGCTTTAACCTACCGAAGACTAGACCTCCAGCTGGCTACCAGGTGGGGGAGGGTGGCCCCCAGCTGCAGAGTCAGGGGGAAGAGCCCAAGGAGTAACCACTTTCTTATATAGGCTTTCAGCCAAACTCTCTGTCTCCAGGATTACCTGCACCTGTTTCTCTGAGCTTTTGGAGTGCAAATTGAGTTGCTTCTTGGCTTTTACCAGCTTAAGATTCAGCTTTCTTGGGTCTGCTTTATCATTTAGGACTCATCTATTTGTTTTCTAACTTCAGAAATTTTTGTTGCTATTGTCTCTTCCTCCCTGATTTTTAAGTTTTAAAGTGTACAGTTTGTTAGCATTAATTACTGTTAATTAATTAATTTTGCTGTTCGAAATTTTTTAATTACCCTAAACAAAGCCTCTTATTTTATTTTATTTATTTTATTATTTTATTTTATTCTTTGAGATGGAGTCTCACTCTGTTACCCAGGCTGGAGTGCAGTGGCATGATCTCAGCTCACTGCAGCCTCTACCTCCCAGCTTCAAGAGATTCTCCTGCCTCAGCCTTCTGAGTAGGTGGGATTACAGGCATGCACCGCCATGCCTGGCTAATTTTTGTCTTTTTAGTAGAGACGGGGTTTCAACATGTTTGTCAGGCTGGTCTCAAACTCCTGACCTTGTGATCTGCCCACTTCAGCCTCCCAAAGTGCTGGGATTACAGGCATGAGCCACCGTGCCCAGCCCCAAACCTCTTATTATTAAAGGTACCTATTAAACAATAACTCCCCATTTTATTCTCCCCTTAGCTTCTGATAACCTCTAATCTTTGTGTCTGTAAATTGGCCTATCCTAGATTTTTCATATAAGTGGAATCATACAAAAGCTATCCTTTTTCATGTCTTATATTGTATAGCATGATGGTTTCAAGGTTCATCCATTACCATTTATCGGTGCTGCATACCTTTTTATAGCTGAATAATATTCTGTTATATTTGGAATAAATATCTTGTTTATTCATTTATTGATGGATGCTTGCACATTGTTTTCATCTTTTGACTATTTGTAAATAATGCCTGTGTGAATATCCACATATGTTTAAATCCCTATTTTCAATTCTTTTAGATATATATGCCTAGGAGTGGAAATCCTTAGTCATATGGTAACTCTATATTTAACTTTTTGTGGAAATACCAAACCATTTTCCCTAGTGGCTGGGTTATTTTACATTTTTACTAGCAATGTGTCAGTATTTCAATTTTTTCACATCTTCTTTTTCTTTTCTTTTTTTTTGAGACGGAGTCTTGCACTGTCGCCCAGGCTAGAGTACAGTGATATTGGCTCACTGCAACCTCCGCCGTCTGGGTTCAAGTGATTCTCGTGCCTCAGCCTCCCAAGTAGCTGAGATTAAAAGCACCTGCCACCATGCCCAGCTAATTTTTTGTTTTTAGTAAAGATGGGGTTTCACCATCTTGGCCAGGCTGGTCTCACACTCCTGACCTTGTGATCCACCTGCCTCGGCCTCCCAAAGTGCTGGGATTACAGGTGTGAGCCACTGTGCCCGGCCAACATCTTCGCTTAACAGTTGTGAAATGGTATCTCATTATAGTTTTTATTTTTATTCCCTACTGACTAATGATGTTGAGCATCTTTTCATGTGTTTGTTGGCCATTTGTATATCTTCTTTGGAGAAATATCTCTTCAAATCTTTGGCTCATTTATTAACTGGATTGTTTGTTTGTTTGTTTGTTTGTTTTGAGAGACAGGGTCTTGCTCTGTCCCCTAGGCTGGAGTGCAGTGGCGAGGTCATGGCTTACTATAGCTTTGAACCCTTGACCTCCAGTGATCCTCCTCCCTTGGCCTCCCAAAGCACTGGGATTACACCATGCCTGGCCTTTTTGTTGTTGAATTATAAGAGTTCATTATACGTTTTGGATGTTAAACCCTTATTAAATATGATTTGCAAATAAGCATTCTCCCATTCTGTGGGTTGCTTTGCCCTTTACGGGTATAGTTCTTTGATGCATGTTTTAAAATTTGATAAAATCTAATTATCTATTTTTTCTTTTACCTATGCTTATGGTGTGATATTTAAGAAACCATTGCCAAATCCAGAGTCATGAAGATTTGCCCATATGTTTTCTTCTAAGATCCTTTGTTTTTTCTTTTAAAGAATCAGTTTGCTACCAATTTAGTGTGGTTTTTGGAAGGGAACAGAGCTAGTATATATATATTCAGTCCCCTTTCATCGGAATCTCCTGTAATAGTAGGAGATTCTGTCTCCTGCAGAGTAGTAGCTCACACCTGTAATCCTAGCACTTTGGGAGGCCGAGGTGGGTGGATCATCTGAGGTCAGGAGTTCCAGACCAGCTTGGCCAAAATGGTAAAACCCCGTCTCTACTGAAAATACAGAATTAGCCAGGTGTATGGCACATACCTGTAGTCCCAGCTACTCGGGAGGCTGAGGCAGGGGAATTGCTTGAGCCCCTCAGGAGGTGGAGGCTGCAGTGAACTGAGATTGCGCCATTGCACTCCAGCCTAGGCAACAGGAGTGAAACTGTGTCTCAAAACAAAAGAATCCCTTTTGGTCCTTACGAATTTAGTACTGCAACAGTATATTATAATGAGTGTCTCTTATTTTAAAACAAAAATGCGAACATTAAACAAAACAGTTTTTTTTGAGGTTTTGTTTTATTTGTTCTATTTTTTAACCTCAGCGCTCTTTCCTTTTTCAATTCCAGAGAATTTCCGCTGCCTGTGCACCCACGAAAAGGGCTTTGGCTTTAAGGGAAGCAGCTTCCACCGTATCATCCCCCAGTTCATGTGCCAGGGTGGTGATTTCACAAACCACAATGGTACTGGAGGCAAGTCCATCTATGGGAAGAAATTCGATGATGAAAACTTTATCCTCAAGCACACGGGACCAGGTAGGAGCCAGTTGGCATGTGGTGGCAAGGGAGGCTGGGCGAGGGTGGGATGGCCATGCAGGACGGAAGGGCGGGCTGTGGTTCTGGCTGAGGGACGAAGAGTCTGGAGGAGACACAACACCCAGACACCGGAGAAACGTGCAGCCTCTCTAGGGTGGCATCAGCTTGCTTACATTCAGATACTGTCCATCCCCAGCCATGTCCACACTTTCTCTTAACCCAGCTTGGATTCTGTGGTCTGCCGTTGCATGCTCTTATTCCCTCAACCCCACTGCTCTCCCTGCCTCCACCATCAGATTTACTTAGTAAATTCTCAGTGGTTAGTCCTGCACCAACTAGAAAAGAAACACAGAATTGTACTGAATGATCCCGTTTGAAATTTATAACTATAGTTCTTAAGGGGGCCCTGGCCAACCTGACCAGATTTCCCTCCTTGATGCTCAGTCCCAATCAGAGATGATGTGTCCATGCCTATCTTCACTCCTGAAGCCCTCATATCATCACCTTCCTGCCTCATCTAATGCTTCGCCTCCTGCATCTCTCTACTCGTGCATGCTCTGACTTTCTTCCAATTACAGGGGATGAGCTGCCTCTCCTGAGGCCAGCCCCTCCACCTGTGGACTGGATCTTGTCCCTCTCCTCTACTTAGGAACGTGGCTTCTAAAGTTGTCCCCCTCTTGTAATCCATTTCCCCTGCTCTGCTAGATCAGTCCATTAGCATGAAAGCATGCAGTTATCAACCTCTAGAAGAATCTTCGTTCTTCGACCCTTGTTCCCTCTCCAGCTATCATCGATGCCTCTGGTCCCCCTGTTAGCATAACTTCTTGAAAACATGGTACAGACTTGCTGCCTTCGCATTTCTTGTAAGCCCTTCCAGCCAGACTTCTAGTCCCATCTCACCATTGAAACCACTCTTGCCAAAGATGCCAGTAGCAAGAGTGGTGATCATCTTATCCCACCTCCCAGACCTTATCTCACCTCTCAGGAGCATTTCATACTACAGGTCGAGTGTCCCTTTCCTGAAATGCTGCAACCACAAGTATTTTAGATTTTGGAATATTTGCATTATACTTACCAGCTGAACATCCCAAATCTGAAAATCTCAAATCTGAAATGCGCCAATGAGCATTTCCTTTGAACATCATGTCAGTGCTCAGGAAGTCAGATTTTGGAGCATTTTGGATTTTGGATTTTCACATTTGGGATGCTCAGCCTGTATTAGCTCTGTGCTCCTTGACTTTTCACTTGGCTGGCAGGACTCCTTCCTCCTCTCGTCTCCTTTTACCTAGTTGGCTGCTTTATTTGTCTTTGCTGTCTCCTTCTTTTCCTGACCCCTAAACACTGAAGTGCCTCAGAGCCCAGTCTTTTGTTCTTCACAAGCCTGTTACCCACTGCTCCCTTTTTCTAACTGGTGGTTTGTAGGGTCCTTCTTTACTATGCTGAACTGACATGCATAGATGACCCACATCATTATTTTAAAAATCAATATTAATCTGTAACTATAATAGGGAAGAACATCAAAGGAAATAAACAAATTTGTGTAATAAGTGAATATGTTTCTAGATGTACATGCTTAAGCACAGCTGTGTCAGAACACAAAGTGAATTATTCAGGCGTCTGCACCTGTACTTAGATGCAGCAGTTAGAAATGTAGATGGGAGTGTCACCTGGCAACTTGGATATGAGGAGCAGTGATGCTGTTTGTGATGTGGCTTTGTGAAATGGTAGATAAAGTTGATTAGATTCCCCAGTAAAGAATAGTCTGTTGATTTATATAGTAGTTAAATAACTAGAAGATTCCATACAAAACCAAAAAACTCTTAAAACTTTGGGCTTATATGTATAATTGAATTACGTTTTAGGTGCAGATAACTGTTACCGGTATCTGGCTGGACATTTATTGTTTTGTTGTTGTTGTTATTGTTGTTTGGTTTTTGTTTTTTGAGACAGGATCTCTTTCTGTTGCCTACACTGGAGTGCAGTGGTGGAGGATGACTCACTCCAGCCTCAACCTCCTTAGCTCAAGCAGTCCTCCTGCCTCAGCCTCCCAAGTAGCTGGGATGACAGTTGCATGCCACCCATAATGCCCAGCTAATTTTTAAGTATTTTTTTAGAGACAGGGTTTCATTATATTGCCCAGGCTAGTCTAGAACTCTTAGCTTCAAGTGATCCTCCCACCTCAGCCTCCCAAAGTGCTGGGATTACAGGCATGAGCCCAGCCCCTAGCAGGATGTTTGAAAGACCAAGAGGATATGAGACACTTCATTGTGCCAGACATTGCAGAACACCTAATTCCAAGCCCCCACCTGCTAAATGCCAATGACACTCCCGCAGTATTTCTGACAGTCAAAAACAGTTTCAAGCCAGGCGTGGTGGCTCATGCCTGTACTACCAACATTTTGGGAGGCTGAAATGGCAGCCCAAAGCCAAAGTGTCATGTGAGTTCAGGAGTTTAAGACCAGCCTGGATAACATAGTAAGACCCTGTCTCTACCAAAAAAAGAATTAAAAAATTAGCCAAGTGTGGTGGTGCATACTTGTAGTCCCAGCTACTTGGGAGGCTGAGGCGAGAGGATTTCTTGCACCCCAGAGATTGAGGATGCAGTGAGCTGTGATTGTACCACTGTACTCCAGCCTGGGTGACACAGCAATCCCCATCTCAAAAAAAAAAAAAAAAAATTCAACTTTCCGAAAGTTTCCTAGGGACAGGACACCAACCCCACTGAGAAGCAGTGCCCTAAGCAGTCACACCCAGTCCCAGAGCTTTTGGCAGAATCTCTTGAGTTAAACTCTTGCATGTTGAAGTCTCCATGCTGATGGCTCCCTGAGCTCCAGACTCCTATCCAACCACCTGCCTGTTGTCTTCACTGGATATCCCACAAGCATCTCACACTTCACCTGTCTAAAACAGTTCTTGGTCTTCTCTCTGAAATTCTTCCTGTCCACTTCCCTGTTTCAGTAAATGACTCCAGTATCCACTTAGCCGCTTGGTCAGAAACTTAGGAGTCTTGTGGACACACACATATACACACACATACATAAACATACATGTACACAGATACACACATATACGTGAACATTCTCTTAGGTGACAAATGTCCATAAGGCCTCATTGTCCTAGCTGTCATTTTAAATAACTCTTTTCCACTGATTGTGAGCTCCACCAGGGCTGGACTATTTTCTGCTCATCAGTGGTCCCAGGGTTTAACAGGGACCTGGTTACCAAGTAGACACTTAATTGTTAAATAAATGAATGAAGAACAGACCAGTATAAAGTGATTGAAACACCTCATTCACCATTTCACTGAATATTAACTGAATCGAAGATAAGGTGGCCATATATGCATGTGGGCTGTGCATCTCGGAGTCTGAGCCTGCATTGCTGAAGGGCTGCTGTCAGCCTGCACAGACATCCTTTAAGGGCTGGTAGACAGGGTTGGGGGAGCTGACGGTTGTTCTCTCCCCCAGGTCTACTCTCCATGGCCAACTCTGGCCCAAACACCAATGGCTCCCAGTTCTTCCTGACATGTGACAAGACAGACTGGCTGGATGGCAAGCATGTGGTGTTTGGAGAGATCACTGAAGGCCTGGATGTCTTGCGACAAATTGAGGTATGTTGCCAGGAATGGGCCTCCTCTTCACCCAGGCCCTTGGAGCACAGCCCTGTGGGAGGGCTGGAGAGGTTCTGTGACCTCAGAGAGATGGCCAGGGACTGTGTCCAGGGGGAGGGGCTACTGCTGCCCAGGTTCCAAGGTGGAAGTGGGCAAATAGGCAGGCAGGGGTTGGCGTCACTAAATCACTGTCAGTCTCCCCCCTCATTCCCTTATTTCTGTTCTGCCCACAAAGGCCCAGGGCAGCAAGGACGGGAAGCCAAAGCAGAAGGTGATCATTGCTGACTGTGGGGAGTACGTGTGAGGTGACATTCTCTCTGCTTCCCACTCCGTTCTTGCCCCTGCACATCCAGGAAGGAGCTGGCAGCCTCAGAGGAGGCAGCACTGAGGGTGCTTGTTTGAAGCAAGCAGCATTTGTGGTGTGAGCACTTCCTCAGGCCCGCTTGGAGCAGCTCCTCTGCGGGCACAGCCTGGACTAGTCCCAAGCACGGCTGTGGGCCCAGGAGCCAGCACAGGTGCACCCCTCCACCATGGGCAGGCTATGCAAAAGGCCACTGACTTTTCTCAGCATTTGCTGCTGAGCCTGTCCTGGGCCTACCAATGTGGCTCTTTAGTGTTTTCTTTGCTAAAATAAACCCTAGTTCTTATACTGCTGCCTCCTGCTAGTTCTTGGGAGTTGTCAGAGATTGTGTCTGTGGCTAAGCTGGACCCCCGAGGCAGGCTGGTGAGCGGGGAGAGCAGAGCATCTTTCCTGCTTTTGTTTCCTCCCTTGGGCCGATCCCCTTCGATGTCAAGTGATATATCTTCACGCCAGGCATCCATGTCAGGGCAGTGGAAATTAAAGACAGTGGAAAGTTCCTGTCTTTTGCTGCCTCTGCTCCTAAACCCAGCTGCTGGTCTTAGAACCAGCAAGTGTACTCTCAATGGCTCATTTGTTTATTTGTTCACTTTCATCCTACAGATTTTGAAAAACGAAATTTTTATAACTCAGAGTGCTGTCTCTGTGCCAAGTACTATGCCAATTTGTCAGGAGACAGGAGGCCAACAAATTACATGCGCCTAATTCAGCATGCTGCCTGTCTTTGTGAATCAGGTTTTATTGTAACACAGCCACATCCGTTTGTTTACATTTTGTCCGTGGTGGTTTCTTACTGCAGTGGCAGAGTTGAATAGCGGGTATAGCCTGTATAGACACAATACAGGCTATGGTCCCTGTATTAGGATTTTCTAGAGAAACAGAACCAATAGGATGTGTACATATATAGAGAGATTTATTTATTTTTTATTTTTAATTTTTTTTGAGATGGAGTTTCACTCTTGTTACCCAGGCTGGAGTGCAATGGCGCGATCTTGGCTCACCGCAACCTCCGCCTCCTGGGTTCAGGCAATTCTCCTGCCTCAGCCTCCCGATAGAGAGATTTATTTTAAGGAACGGGCTTGGGCATTTGTAGGCGTTGGCAAGTCTGGAATCTGCATGACAGGCCAACAGGCTGGAGGTTCAGGAAAAAAACTGATGTTGCAGTTCAAGTCTGAGGCAGCTTGGAAGCAGATTTTTTTCCTCCGGTGATCTCAGTCTTTTAAGAATTTCAACTGATTGGATGAGGCCCACCCACATTATGGAGGGTAATCTGCTTTACTCTCTACTGACTTAAATACTAAGCCATCTAAAAAATAGGCCAGGCGGCCAGGTGCAGTGGCTCATGCCTGTAGTCCCAGCACTTTGGGAGGCTGAGGCGGGCAGATCATGAGGTTAGGAGTTCAAGACCAGCCTGGCCATCATGGTGAAACCCTGTCTCTTCTAAAAATACAACAGTTAGCTGGACATGGTGTCACATGCCTGTAATCCCAGCTACTCGGGTGACTGAGGCAGGAGAATTGCTTGAACCAGGACCTGGGAGGCAGAGGTGGCAGTGAGCTGAGATCATACCACTGCACTCCAGCCTGGGCTACAGAGGGAGACTGTCACTAACAAAAAAAAAAAAAAAAAAAAAAAAATTGGCCCGGCATAGTGGCTCGTGCCTGTAATTCCAGCACTTTTGGGAGGTTGAGGCAGGAGGATCACTTGAGCCCAGGAGTTCGAGACCAGCCTGGGCAGTGTAGTGAGACTCCCTCTCTAGGGAAAAATAAAATAAAAAAGCCAGGTGTGGTGGTGCACAGCTATAGTTCCAGCTACTCAGAAGGCTGAGGTGGGAGGATCACTTGAGCCTGGGAGGTTGAGGCTACAGTCAGCCATGGTCATGCCACTGTACTCCAGCCTGGGTGACAGTGTGAGACCCTGTCTCGAAGAAAACCATCATCACAGCAGCATCTAGACTAGTGTTTGACTAAAAACTGGATACCATGGCCTAGCCAAACTGACACATAAAATTGACCATCACAGTCCCAAGGCCTAAATTATTTACTATCTGAGCCTTTACAAAACAGGATTGCCAGCCACTGAAGAGAACAAATGCTCCCACCCCCTGCTGAGCTCACAGTCTGGCCCTCCTGTGTGCAGCCACTTCTTAGAGCTGGCTTCTCTCCACTCCCCCCTTCAGATACTGGTCAGCCAGGAGGTTGTAAAGAATTTCATCTGCTAAAGTCTCTTAGCAGGGACTGAGCCCTGTAGCTGCTGGACACCTTCTGTGGGTTGGGTCACACAGACCATTCAAAATCCACTGAGCTGAGCTTTTTCATCTTGGGTTGTTATCTGGACAAGCCAGGAGGCAGGAGGGGCCCCGTGGTCCTGATGACCCTAGGATAGCTCCTGCTGAGGGATGGTGGCATTCTGGTCCTACCTCTGGCTCCCATGTGCCAACTGGACTTTCTGAGCTCCAGCTGCTGCAGTTGGCTGAGTTTCAGGCTCCGTGAAGCTGAGATGTACCACATGGTTACCCCTGACCCCTATGGAGCTTCCAAAAGAGACCCTCCCTCAAAGCATAGCCCTCCTCTCTAAGTGCAAATTATGGCCACCAGAGGTCAGTCACAGGTGTTAGCCAGGCATCTATGAAGCTGGGGATGATAGCACTGACTTTGGTGCTTGGACAAGAACAAAGAGAGACTGTGTAGAAAAAGCACAGCCAGCTTCCCATAAAAGGACAGATTCCTGTAACAACCTTGTCACTCTGTTCCTCCCTGATAGTCTCGGGAGGGGGAGGCCGGTGGGCAGTTCTGAAAGCCCAGTAGGTTTGGAGCCATTGGGTGTTGACTTCTCTCCCAGTGCTCCACCTGGGTGTCCACAGGTGTTATCTCATTGAATGCACACTGGAACCCTGCACAGGCAAACAGGCTTTAGTGGCATGACTGCCAAAGGTCACCCAGGGTGCTTTGGCAGAGCTGGGATTAGAAGCCTGGCCTGTCTCTCTTCAGTAGTAATGGAGTCCTGGGATTTTTGCTAGGCTTTAGCCTCAAACTATGGCAGGCAGGGTCCACAGCCCTGGGTGGGGGGAGGGATGACACAGTCATGGTCCCCATAATTGGCCTGGACCTTTGTGGAGAGACAAAGGAGACAAGACCCTGCTCTTCCAGTCTGGAAAGCAGGGCAGCCCCACAACCTGGCCACCTGCTTTGGCTACGCACCATGCAGCAAGCCAAAGGAAAACTGGCTGCCTCAGGAAAACTCTGATCTCTCTGGGAAGTGGACCCAGTGGCTCTGTGGGTGCCCTTTCCGGCAGCCTGGAGGGCAAAGTGGCTTTCCCTGGGACTGCATGGCTCCTGTCCCAGCTAGCCTTCCCATTCCACATTCCCATTGCTGCACCAGCACCAGGACTGGGCGCAGGGCTTCCTTTTGCTGATTTATTTCCCCGCTAACTCATTCAGAGTTGGGCCCATCTGAGTACCTGCATGCTGGCCCCGAAACAGCTTACAAAGGGTGAAACCAGGGATGGCAGGCCCAGGATCAATGCTGTGGCTGAGGGAGTTTCCTCTCTAACAGCTTGACAGCTACCTCCAGATGCTGCTCCCATCTGCTGCAGTCATAGCAGCCTCACGGCAGCCTCTGAAGAAGGAGTTATGGAACCAACTTTTTACTGGTGAAAATGGAGTCTTGTAGAGTTCAGTGATGGGAAACTAAAGTAGAAAAAGCACATCACAAAGCAACTTATGTATAGTACAGCGTGATCCCAATTTTGTAAAAATATCTGTAATATGTAAGCATAGGTATTTGTAAGAAAAAAGCCTAGAAATAAAGTCACCAAAATATTAATAGTGTGTTTATCTGACTTGTGGGACTATGGTGACTTGAATTGTATTTTATTATCTGTATATCCTACTTTCCTCCAAAACTGCATTATTTTTTTGAGACGTGAAAAACATTTTTGAAAAAGGGGGTCAAGTGCCCATCCAGGGTTCCCTTCAAAAAGGAGGTCAAGTGCTTGGTCATGGGCAGTTCCCCCATGCAAATTACCACCCAAGGCACCTGGTGGGTACAGACCTCTCTCAGCAGGACACGGGATCCTGGTGCCTGGAAACACAAGAGCAAAGTTAAACAGCCACTGCCACAAGTGACACTTGCTAGGCCATTAAAGGCTATAAGAATACAAGTCCTGCCCTCCAATGGACACCGTATGTGGATCGTTTAGGAAAATGCAGCTCTGAAATAAACACATCGTCACCTGAAGAACACATTTCGGTTTAATGGACAGGCATAGATGTGGCTCAAAAATAATCAAATTCATTTGTAATAATACCAGCAAGTACCAATTGTTAAGCATTTATATGTCAGCTATCCCAAAGATTTGTGTACATATTTAATCTTTATAATAGCTTTGGGAAGAAAGAACCAATATCCTACTCTACAAAGGAAGAAGCAGAACCAGGATTCAACCACTATCTGGCACCAAAAATCCGTGTCTTGCTATACTGCCTCTATTCCTGTTTCCTTGGACCTTTTCCAGAAATGTGACTTCCCTGCCTCAGAAGTCACTACGAATCCCCTGCTGACTTGCCCTCAAGGCCAGCATTGCACTGCAAGTCCCAAAGCTGCTAGGCGTTCCTCCTTTGCCTGTTGTGTGTGTCCTCTCTTCCTGTCAACTCTCATTGATTTCTCATTGCTGTCAGTAGATCTGAAACAACCACCCTCATCCTTCCAGTCTGATGCAATGAGATAAACAGGCCATGCCCTAAGCAAAGGAAAGGGAAATGGTGGTATTTTTGTTGCCAGCCTGGGCCACCCACTGCAGATGCCATGCTTGGCTCAGCAAACAGGTAACTCAAGGATTAAATTCACGGGCTTCTGTTCATTCACAACTGTTGAATTGCTCAAGGGATTTTTCTATTTTATTTCATTTGGTGACCGTCTGGACGACAAAAGTTGCTGAAAGTCTGATGGCCAACTAGGTGGACAAAGCCTTATGTTTTTCTGTTGTTCTGTATGAACCAGGAGGATCCCGGCTTGTATTGGTTCCTGCTGTGCACAGCTTGATTAATGGGTAAGGTGTACTCCATATCTACAAACCTTTGTGTACTTTAACAGACATTCCTGGTGCACCCCGGACTATGCCAGATCATTGGCTGGGCACGAAAGATACAGGTGGAATAAAAAATTTGCTGTCAAAATAACTGGCTAATTTGAAATCTACAGTTGCCTAAAAGACCATCTTTGATGTTGAAAAGAAGGAACTGTTAGTAAGTACTAGGATGGCAGATAGGTTCCATAGTTTTGTTTTGTTTTGTTT